TGATCTCAGTGCTGGCATTTGTTATCGGTGGAAAATGTATAAAGGGTCTTATGTTGTTATACGGGCGATTGAATGCTTATAATGCCTTTGTATCGCGGGGGGGGAAACAGGGCAAAGAACCAAAGCATTTTGATTGACCAGCCTGCAGTCAGCAACATTCAGCTCTCAGAGATTTCAGAAAGTTTCACTCAAAGATAGATTTACAAACACAGGAAATGTCCCTCCCAAAATGTCCCAAGCAATAACCACCAAGAAGTAAAGCTTTATAAAGTGGTACCTTAACAGTAAATACAGCATAATATATTGCTGGTAACAAGAATATTAAATTGTTAAATGGATTCAAATTGCGTTCTCTGAAACATTATTAATAAACTAAAATTGTGTTCATAGTTTTGGGTTTTTTTCCTTAGCTATGATAGGACCTCCAACAATAACTGTGGTTCATAGCAACAAATCCATAATGCTAAAGCTCCAGGCTCCACGTTCTCCTTATAAAAGGAAGAGGGGCAGCAAGATACCAATGACGAATTATTATGATCTGCTATATCAAGTCTTCATAATTAACAATTTGCTAGACGAGGTAAGTCCATATTCAAATATGAAGCTTTTACCATTGAAAAGCCAGGAAAGTTATGGGCACACCATTCTTGGATTACAGTTGAAATAGTCTTCTGGGCTTGTGAGACCATTGATGACTGTTTAAGTACTTGAAAACAAAGTAGGCTTATTTTTCAGGAATTGAATGTGATTTAATTCAGTTCTAATTCTTCCCTTCATTCTTTCTCATCAACTTAGTATTTCATACTCTAAGACCTAGATTAAAAAACTGGGACAAAAGGGGAATTTGGGAGGAGAATTTTCTTTAAAAATCATAAATTAATTATTAATGTTATTGATTTGTGCAAGTCCACATGCTGCTCTACATCCTCTTCTTATTGGACTTTACTCACAGACACACTTGCTAGGGCAATGTGCTTGACTAGCTGTTTTTACTCCACTCTGTCTGAAGCAACACAGAGTCCTGGTGTATGAAGGAAAAGACAAGGTTATTACAATAGAAGATTTGAGGCCCGGAGTCAGCTACTGCATTGTGGCTAAAACATACATGCCAATGCTGGACCGCAGCAGTGCCTACAGCAACCGGCAATGCAC